TATAGGAACGGAAGGCGAAAGAGCAGGCCGAACCGAATTCTTACCCGCCACAGAGAAGCGCCCCGTCGCCGCTCCGACAGCCGCTGCCGCTACCGTTCTGATCGAACCGTACGTGTCTCTGGCCTCGAACGCCTCCACCCCTCCCCTTATCTCCTCCCCACCTGCCATTGGTATTTTCATCCTCAGGGTCCCGCCCCAGACTCCTATTGGTGTTTTCCGAAGGGCTCTGCGTCCTTCTTAATTGGCTGAGAGATGGCCCCTTTCCCTTGCTATTGGCCGCACGGCCGCGCCCAAGCAGCTGCCATTGGTTCATACCAGACGAAGGCGCACATCACATACAGACGCACACACAGCCATAGACGCGCGGCCGCGACGTTCATTGGCTCCTATTATCGGGCCAAGAGGCGGCGCCGGGGGTGGATTGCGACCTTATTGTCTTCCTCGCGGCCCTTCCTCCCCAGAAGCGGCGCGCGGCCCCTGGTGGAAGGAGCGCGAAGGGCAGAGCGCTGCCTGCCGCGGAGCGCTTACTTTCCTCAACGTGTGGGTGTTTTATTTGCATCTGAGGCGTCCTAGAAGCCGCACGTTACAGGCAGCGTGGACTGCCGTGCAATCTATTAATAAATTTTCTGTCGCTCTAGGTCAAAACACAGAGCCGGACCATGGGTTTCTCATCCGCTCTGAATGCAGTACGGTATCTACAGTATTGTATTTCCTTCCAAGCGTTTGCGAAAAGTGATGTGATAGCCCGGCGCTCCGCCGGTTAACAACAGTTAACTCGATGCTAGCACTATAGCACACGTGGGAAACTTTAATCAGTGTAATGCTGATAATATTACATCTAAAACCATAATACTGTTAGTTACAAGATACCGTCATCAGTACCTAACAGTAGAAACTAAATACACGTTACAGTTTCATATTCAAACTTGCTTAAAACGGGATTTGAGTTAACTAAGTATTGCAGGTGGATCACGTGGAAGGTTAAGATCTGCCATTCTGTTCTGCAGGACATGGCATAAGAGCCCTAAGTTACAGACAGATTCCTGCTGAAAGTTAGGAAAAACTGAAGAACAGTTGGATAGTTGAGGCTGGCGGCAGGCTTTCACGGAAGTTAGGCAGCCATCTCTTGGGGATGCTTTAAGTTGGATTCCTAAACTGGGACTTGGGCCGTGGCTTAAATGACCTCTTCCAACCCTAAAATACTTTGATTCTTGCATGTAGGATAACGAGGAGGAAGGATCATACACTCCTATTTCTGACCCTCGCTTGACCGAGGTATTTTGTTTAGAAAAAATCTCAAGAAACCGCAATGTCTCTGGTGGGGGACAACAGAAGTACTAAGTGGCTTCAGGCCCACATTCCCCAGGGAAAGGCTAAAGGAATGTTATATATTTAGCCTGGAAAAGCTATGAGTAAATGGTAGCATGACTGCCAGATTCAAAAGTTTGAAGTGCTGACACTGATGATGGCAGTAGTTTCCTGTTACTTTGTGGGATACGAATCAAACCAAACAAAATTTTAACTGAACTTTATAGGAATCATTTGGCGACTCTCTGAGTTCTTACGTAGTGAAACAGACTTGCCTCAAAGGTTGGTAAACTCACCTTTTATTAAAGCATTTTAGACAGGGGCTAAAATGCCACCTCTCGGATTGCATTAGCAGAAGTTTGGGCTAAGATCGGGGTAACTGAGACTGACGCTGCACTGTATTTGCATGTTCCAATAACATAAGAACAACAGGTTGTCAGATATTTTACATGTGCAAAGTATTATTCAAATGGTAAACAACAGTTTGTATTTTACCTATACATACATGTTTACTTCAGTGCTAAAAGTAATGTACTTCTACTAACAAAGAACCAAAGCTGTTTTTCATTGGTGGTTTGTCAAGAATGTTAGTACAATCCTAGGAGCAATGAGACTTAATAATTCAGCTTGAATGTAAACTAGAAAAGCTGCAGCAACTCTAATCACATTTACTAGGGACTACTGAACTCATGGGAACTCATTCCCAAGTAGCAAAGATGAGGCCTAAAATCAATGTAATTTAGCATGGATGTAGTTGTTCTGGTTTTCTAGATCAAATTATGGATTGTGAACATTTATGCTCACAATAAATGAGCTTTATTTATTACATGTATGTGTGTGTAAATAATAATGATATTTATTTATTATGCTCCTTGATCTCTCAGCAGCTTTCAATACCGTCAGCTACAATATCCTTCTGAGTTGGCCTTGTGGGGTAGGTATTGTTTTTATGGTGGGTTGGGGGCACTGTTTTTACAGTGGTTCTCTTCTTTCCTCCAGGGCCAATTCCAGTTGGCATTGGTTGGGGGGAGAGACACTCCCTAGGCCCCGCCTGTGTGGGGTGCCGCAGGGTTCTACTCTCTCTCCCTTCCTTGGGATAGTGAGCCATCACACATGTCTTTCTTCACTGCATATTCATAGCACCGTTACTCACCTCTTACTCTCAAAGGTTACTGTGCGGTATAAATTGGTTTAATGCTGACCTCTTACTTTTACAATGAAACCATTTCTGAGTGACCCTGTGCAAAATCTGGTGGATCTAATTGACAAGAAAAGTTAACCAGACCAGCAGTATCATACATGTTTTCTGATCCTAGGGTAATTTGTTTTGCTATTTAGATATATTGCATGTTAAAATCATAGCTTTGTAGTCTCTTGGATATTATTTTAAAACAATGTGATTACTAATATAATTAGATATTAGTTTAGTTTTAATCAATTCAATAGTATTTAATAGATTTAGTTTCATAGGTTTAATAGACATTAGCTTTATAGTCACTCTATAATGTGTTTGTGTGTGTGTGTATGTATACACCCCCTCCCCCCCAGTACCAGGTCCTGAAGGAAGAACTAGAGAGGATGTGGAAAGTCAAGGCCAAAGTGGTCCCGGTGGGGGTAGGAGTCCTTGGGGCTGTGACTCCTAAGCTGGGAGAGTGGCTCCAACACAAGAGTGCAGTGCTGGGAACAGCTAAGATCCTGCGCAGAATCCTCAGACTCCCAGGCCTCTGGTAGAGGACCCAAGATTGAGGAAGACACGTACCACCCATAGGGGTGAGAGGAGATTAAAAAAAAAAAAAAAAGACGTGGCTTCCGATCTTCCTCATACATACAATTCTAACTGAACCTCTCTCTAAGACTACATCACAATTCCCTTCTTTCTATAACCTATTCTTTCTGATCTATACACACACACACATACATACACATATAGAGTGTTATTAGAATGTAATAGCGTTAAGTATTCTTTGTCTAGGGAAAGGGCATTGTTAAACTCCAGTTGATAATTCTATGACTAATTTGGAAGATTGTTTTTCATATTCAAAAGATCCTCTAAAAGTTGCTTTTCCTATGTAATTTGCCATGGTAATGGTTGCATTTCAAATTACATAAACATCTTATTTAGACATAGTTGAATCAAAGCCAAAACTAAAATAATCTTTGAAGCTACACTCCCTGGCTGATCTTGCACAGTATCTTTAGCTACAGAAATTAGCAGGTACAGATTTTTACAACAGGGTGTGCTAGGCATGATAATCTAATAATGTTGGTCAACTAGGAACAAGTAGTGATAAAAATTTAGCACCCTAGGTGTTAATTAGGTAATGTGGAAAGTTACTTCAACTGTTAGACTGAACTTCCCTAGTTAGGGATATCAGTTTCTCAGATGCACTTAACAGCTGCATGACGGATGGACATTAGTAAAATAAATCAATAAGTATTTTCTCATCATTCTGCGAAAGGTGTTTTGTCAATATGTAACTCTTCTAGGCACAAGAGTCTTGTCAGAAAAAAACCTATTCCTGGGAATGTGCTACAATACCCTGCCTTAACTTTGCACCTTCCAGAAGTGCATGAACCACAATTCCCAATCACAAATAGACTATCTGAAAAGAAAAGGCAAAAGCTCATATAGTTTGAAGAGTACAGAAGAAGGAATTATGGCAGATGTGTTCCATAATGCAGAGATGAAAAACGATGTGCCTATGGAAATTCTTCTACAGACCTATTAAAAATTCAGATACTCTGTACTTCTTTGCTACTAGGTCACATGGTTCTTGTAGCTTCTATCAGTACTAAAAAAATTTAAAGACCTGTCAGCATAATGCATTAAGCCTACAAAAGCCTGTAAAATCACAGTATAAATTGGTAAGCCAATATGTTGTATGTATGGGACAACTCACAGCAGATTTTGCCACCATCCGCACACTTAAAGAAGATATCCCTTTCATATACTCTAATGAACAGAAAAGAATGGGGAGGATCAATGGCTAGGGGATTTCAGGAGTTAAAGTCTAAAACCTCTGGGAAGCACTTCCACATGTAGAGACCCCTTATATGCCAAGAACTGTAGGAGCAATGCCAGAATTTTCTGCATTCTTGGTGCAGACTTTCCCATTTGTTGGACTAAAATTCCAATCATTCCCACCTGTGCTGCCAATGGTGATTTTCATAGAAGAAAATATATGCAGCTCAGGGTTGAACTGTGGAGTCCTTGGTGCTCTCTGAGCTTGGTTGTTTGCTTGCAGACGTTGCATTACCCGACTCGGTAACATCAGTGTGACAAAGAATTCTAACTGATCAGCATAGTGTATGTTATAGACTCGCACTGATGATGTTACTGAGTTGGGTAATGAAGCGTCTGCAAGGAAACAACCAAGCTCAGAGCGCACCAGCGACTCTATGATGACAAATTCCTTGTATATATTTTATACTTGGTCATTAAAGTATTTTGTATTGTATTTGTATTGTATTGTGATTCTGGCAGGGAGTGATGGGAGTTGTAGTAGCGTAAGGCGCCTGATTTAGTGAACGCTGATGAATTGGCCCAGCTAGAGACGGAGGCTGCTGCCTCAGTCCTGCCATGGATATGTAACTGCACGACTGAAAGCAGGCAAGGATGCGCTCTTTGAAAAGAAGATGTAAACCGCGGCCGGGACCTCCGCTATTCCGAGTCCCTCCATTAGGAGGCAGCCGTTCTTTTCCTGCCGCAAACAGCGGACGCCTCGCAGTGGGAGGGGCAGGACTGAGTAACGGCTCCCTTTGTCCTCTGGACTCAGTTTACTGCGTGCGCAAGAGCCGGGGAAAGGCGTCTAATTTTTCTAGGCAAGGTTCCATCTCGAGCCTGTCTTTCGCCCTCCAGTCCCCTTAGAAAGATGCACCCTTAGTTTTCAGTTTACTCGGGAAGTCAGTTCCACCGAATTCAGGCTTAGGGTGTGTACGCGTGTATACGCATGCACACACTCATATATATGCTCAGGTTGGTATGGAGGACGCAACGGGGTGCAATCTTTAAAAGTAATGGGACGATTACTTCTCAGTTATGCTACTTAGGGTCCTGGTGTGTAAGTATGCTCAGGATTGAAGCTCGTGGTGTTTTTTTTTCCTCTCCCTTCTTCACAATCGAGCTTCATTTCTGGAGAACTACCTACTTATTGCAGGTTACCGGATCCCTGCGTGTGCCCCTTTTTACAGGGGCGAGTGCTTCTGGTACTCCGGAGTCCAGGAAAGATTAGACTCAGAGTATCGTAGAGGGCTATTCAGACCGTGGAGCCCAAATCTGCAAATGTAAGAATCCGAGCGGAATGGACTGACTTCGAAGTACTGTAAAGATGCACCGAGTGGAACTTGGTCTAAAGCACTTCCATTCTTCCGCAAAAGTTCTGTTTCGAATGTAGCTCTCAGGTAGCTAAACTCACATTGGTCAGGGCTCCGGTTTTTTGCGCCTCGGGATTCAAACCCTCTTGAAAGCGAGGGGAGTTGCTTGCGAATAGCGCGGACAGGACTGGGCCTTAGCAAGGGAAAGGGCCGAAACGGACGCGCTCTGAGGGTGTTGGCTCAAAACAAGCGCCCTCTTCAGGCGCTCCGCTCCCGCCCCGCGCGCGTGGCGAAGAGACCCTCTGCAGACGCGCCTGCAATTTGGGGGCGCCACGTGTGGACAAGGAGGCTTCTTGGGAAGGGGCAGCACATCTTGGGGAGGAGGGAGGGTCGGGAAGGAGCCGTCCTTACTTTCTTCTATTGGACGGGCGATGTCTTCAGGCGGGCGGTGCCGGGGGCGGTCCCGACAGCCCCGTCTTGTCCCAGGCCGGGCACAGAGGGAGGGATCGGGAGCTAGCCGTCGCCGCCTGGCCACGGCGGCTCCGCTCCGTACGGACAATCCAGACGGGCTGAGCCATCCCCGCCTCCCCTGGAGCCGCCTGGGCCGGGGATGGGGAACACGGAGAGCGGGGAGCCGGGCGGGGGGTCCGGGCTGCTGCCGCCCCCGCCGGGGAGAGTCCCCATGCCGGATCAGGGGGAGCTGGAAGAGCGATTCGCGATGGTGCTGGTGAGAGACCCCTCCTCCCGCCCCCCCGGTCAGATCCCTGCATAGATTCCTCCTCGCCCCACCCCCCTGCGCTGCCCCAGGGAATTCGCCGCGGAGGGCTTTGCAAATAAACTCGTCGCATCTCCGGCGTTCGGTTTCCTTCGAGTCGCTCTCTCTAGGAACAGAGATGGATCGCCAGCCTCAGCGCCTTGCTTCTTCCCTTTCCTTTCCTCTCCTCGCTCTCCAACTTTTTCAGACACTGTTTTCCGGTCCCAAAAGATCCGGGAAACCATTCTGGATCCCTTTTTTCCTCTGGGGTTGAAGCCCAAGCCCTGGGGGTCGCCTCCCTAACCTCCACTTGTTCTGGTTGTTTCTCCACTACTTGCCTGATCGGATTTCCAGTCACTCTTGGGCGCCCGTTGCCCAGATGCTCAACTCTTGCCTGCGGGGCAAGATTCCCTGTGAGGTGGCCGTTCTTTCCGGGAGATCAGCTCACTTCAGAGATAATCAGATCCACCTGTGTCTGTGTCAGCTAGCATTTTTTTCCTGTTAGATACCTCCCCCCCCTCCCTCCCCCCAGCAACTGTATTGCTCATGTTCTTCATCCTGTAGCTATCTCTTGTTATGTATCCACTCAGATCCCTCAGAGGCTTGGTTTTGACAGATGCCCAGTTTTTAATCTTGCTGGAATGTGTCACTGCTGGCAGGCAGATTTCTCTTAAAGTTTCAGATCTGTATCACACTGTTCTAGGCCAAGGTGGGCTTCTGATTAAGAACTTAGGGGACAATGATCCTCCTTGTTTTTTCCTTTCCTTGCCTCTGCTCTGTCATTACTATCTGACCCGTGCCATCTGATATAACTCTAGTGGGAAATTCCAGCAGATACTAATTTCCTTCATCTTTCTTGCATTTATCCACTCCACATAGGACACTTGGGTCCTTAAAAAATAAAAAGGATTAATCACTGCACATCCTAGCTTTTCTTTGCAACCAAGATTTTTCTCTTTTTCACTCACCTACAGAAGTGTTGTAATGTTTGGTTTTTTCTTCCCAAGACTGATCTGAATGAAAAAAGTATTGGTAGCCACATATATGGTCTAGCTCTGTCCTGTCCAAGCTTTGATGGAGGACTTCAGTGGATCCAAGTGATGGATTTTCATATTTTTTTTTAATCTAGGTCCAATTGATCTTGTTTACCCAGAATCTTGTGGCTTGGAAACCTGTGGCCTAATTCACACAGTGTTCTAAAGCATAATGTGCTTTGTTTGGTTTTAGTTTAGTACACATATTGTGTGGCCCCAGCCATTGTGGTTTTTATACCTTGGGTTATGGGTTATGTGTTATATGTGTTGGGGTTCCAACAATGTTTGAACTCAGCCAGTTATGGCTTATTCAGAAAAGCATGGCTAATCAAACCATGACTATGTAAGGAATGATGATGCTGGCTATAATATTGCATTACCATCCTAAAATGAGGTTCTATAGTTCCTAATTAATTCAAATAGAGAGCAGGGATTTATCTATTTATTTATTTATGTTTCTGGTAATACTCCTAATCTATACTAACAGCTGCGATGTTAAGCATTACTATGGTGAAATTCGTTTTGGAAGAGTTACTGTAATCTCAAAGAGTAGAGGGTAACCTTGTGACTGCTCCTGAAAAAGAAGGAAGGAAGGAAGGAAGAGTTGTGTGGTTCCTCCTACTTCCATAAATATATCAGGAGGAAATATGAACGTTGAATTAGGCATTTTTTAAAATGTTACATTGAATACCCTTCCCAGGAGTTCTTGGCAATGTGCGTAGCTCTTGTTCACTTTGTTCTTCCCAGTATCCTAAGATTAGGCTGAGAGGAGCCTTGATCAGTCACTTGCCAAAAATGCAAGAAGAGTCACTTTTGTATCTTGTAGCCTTAGACTTTTGCACCTTAAGTGCACTGTGAAGGTCTGATGTGTGGACGTTTCCTCACACATTGAGTTGAACGTTCTTGTTTTCTCTGTGCAAACTTGTAAGCTTGGTCAACAAACAGATGTTCCCTTTGCAGACTCAGTGTTTGAAGGTCTAAGGCTGCTAACAGTGAGGATAAGGATTTGTCAGTAGAGTCAGCAAATGTCCTCCCTCGGTGTATTCTGAGAATGAATTCAGATATGCTCTCTCAGAGGATCTACAGTTCCTGGTAGGGCTTCATGGCAGAGTCAGGTTTGGAATCTGAGCATCCTCACTGCACTCTTAACCCCTCTCTACAGTAGTTGCTACACTTTGCTAGCTTTCTGTGTTGCAAGATGAGGAAGCAAAGTTCAGGATTGTATCTATTAAGATTCAGCACGTCTGGCCAATTGTGTCAGATCTCTGAAAATGTCCCGTATAAACATCTCCCATTCTCAGCCTGTAGTAAGCTAGCACAGTAGGGGAAGGCTGTGCCTTATTTTCTGCTACGAAAATTTACATATTGTTTTTGCGCAAAACAGTTTTCAAAATTATGCTTATCCCCTTCTGTTGATATGTTGATACAGAACATTTCAGAACTCTGTATGAAGACAGATCAACTCAGTGTAGTTACTAGAGTAGCCTTCTCCTTCCTGAAAGCTACTCTGTGCATTGGAATACAAATCCCATTCTCTCATATAGATGGGAAAAACTAAGATAGAGGAGGGAGCAATCTGTGGCCTGCATACTGCTGTACTTGCAGATCCCAGACTCCAGAGTGTGGGGGGTAATATTTTAGACTTCTCTTTTGCATTTGGAAAGGGGGAGGTTAAGGGACAAAGATTTAAGACATTGATGTACTCCTTAAATCCCCCCAAACCACAAAGATCAGGCCATGGGGGTCGGGAAATTAAAGGGCAAATAGATACTTTTCCATTTAAACTCCCCAAATGTAAAAGCAGAAAAACCAAGAAGTTGCCTATCCTGGACTAGAACTGAGGAGATCCAAGTTCAAATATACCCTACGCAGCATTTCTCTTGAGAGGTAGAGGAATGTAATTGTCCATTTTTAGAAAAAGTTCATGTCATCCACATACATGTATAAAACACCCTTCTATAGTAAGGAAATGTGTATAAATAGACACGTTAGGCACATTTATTGGTCCTCCAAAGAATATTGCCCTGAGAAATTTAATAAGATGTTCACACTTTCACTGTGAGTGTTTGAGATTTCAAGACAATTGATGAGATTTTGGTGATACTTATAGTAATATACCTGGGGGAGAGGATTTCTAGGCAGTTTTTTCCTTAGTTAACAGAGAGTTCGTTTGTTAAAAAATAAAAATCCACTCCAGTGATGTCAGAAGGAGAGGAAGCTGACAGCATGTGATACATAGTTTTCTCTTTTCTCAATGGGTAGGTTACTTTTTGAATGCTGCCACTTGAGGAAATAAGATGGTGATTCAAAAGGACATGATACTGGGTTGATGAAACTATTATATGTTGCCAAACCATTGGTCCTTCCAACCCCATTAGTTGTCCACCGTGATTGACAGCAGCTTTCCACAGTGATATCTTGTTGGTTGGAGAGGCTGGCCCTGTAACCTGAAACATTCTGCAGGCAAACCGTGCCCTCTACCTTTGAGTTCCAGCCCATAATAACATCCACTCTCTACTAATGTAATCTTGCAGGTCCTATGTTGCAATTTAGTGGAGAATGGGAAGAAGCACCAAATGTAGGTACAGAATCCAGCATCCTGAAATTCTTAGTTTGATTTCTTTAATTTAAAAACAAGCACATTTTAGCTAGCTTTTATGGCTGAGTATGTTTTTGAAAGCATTGGGTAAATCCTGCTGAAATATCAGAAATGAGATCTAGCTAATTACAAGCTCAGACATAATAAAATTCCTAGTTATTGGAAGGTTATTTTTCCATACCTGCGGGAAGGATTAACAAGTAGAAAAAATGATAGCAAATAATACACAAAAGTGCTGCAAAATAAGTAAATGCATGCAGATTTGATCGATTGGCATAAATTGCTCTGGTGCCTGGTTTCAAACTAAATATAGAATTTTAATTTACTGGATGCAGAATTGTAATTTTTAATGTGCATATATGTGTGTGGGATGGTGTTGGAGGACACATGGTTCTGAAAAAACATAGAGCGGGCTGTATTTATGAAGGTCTCAGTCATCATGGCTGAAGAATTCCAGTTCATCGTTTAAGCAGATGCAGTTTTTATCTTCCTCAGGGCAGGCTTAAACAGTATGGTAAGTGTAATACAGAGGAGGATATATATTGGCATTCTGTGATGTAACGTGAGCACTCACTCCAAACTCAGTCTGTCAGTCATGCTGCTTTCCTATGGCATACTGAACTACAGTTCTGAACTAACTAGTGATTAATCCATTTAATCCACTCTCCAATGTGGATGGTGTGTTCTGTGTTCCAGATCTCACACACCAGGCTGGAACAATTTAATTTGATCTCTTAGGGCCTGTTGCTGCTCTTTTTTGCTCATTATAGTGATACTATGGAAAAGCACTGGAGTTCATGATTTTTATCAATTCTCCTGTATCTCTGCAGAGATATTCCATTATGGAAACTGTAGTCCTGGACAAGATCTGTTCTCTGTGTGTTGTAGATGAGAGGTGAGGGCCCTTTGTGTAGTGACAGACTGCATTTTAAAAAATTATATTTGCCATCCAAGAGCTGCAGGGACATAACAGTAATGTAATTATGTCTGTGGAGGGGCATAGCAGAGTTATTTGCCTTCTTCCCTGTTTTTGAAAGGATTGCCCTTTTAAACATTGATCATGCCCTAAGCCCATTCAATGCTTAAGTATTTGTTTATGATTACAAAAAAATTATATTCTGGCACATTTCACCAATTTGGGGTGGGTTTTATTAATTTCTCTTCTGAAAATTTGTGAAAAACATGTTCCCCTTCTGGTGCAATCTTGGGCAATTGAAAAAAGAGGCTTGGTTATGGATTGGACCCCTCCAATGAATGCGAGCTACTGTTAAATATGAAATAGCAGCAACCTGCCTTATATGAGAGGCAGAATAGCTTTATGTGCTATCTGTAAATATACT